GAGCACGGCCGCCGCGAGCACGTCCGCGGTCGAGTCGAGCATGCCTGCGCGCCGGGGAAGGCAGGGCTCGCTCGCGCGCGCGGAAGCGATGGTGGGCCGCGCCCGGCGGGGCGAGCGCGAGGGACCGCGCGAGGCGCCGGGCGGGAAAATTCAAATTTCAAACTCGCCGGCGGACGCGCCGCGGTAGCAGAGCTGCATGAGCTCGGCGACGTTCTGCTCGATGAGGTCCGCGGCCTCGGTCTTCTCGACCAACTCCCGGCGCTCCTCGTGGTAGTTCACGAAGATCGACGCGATCGCGTCCATCCGGAGCCTAAAGTTCACGAGGAACGCGGACGCGGCCGCGGACACTTGCACGGACAGTCGCTTCGACGCCCGGACGGGCGGCGTCGCTTCCGTCGCGCGCCGCGTGCCGCCGTCGTCGCGCGCCCGGGCGTTGCGCCGGCGGGGCTTGCGCGTCGACGCCTTGTCCTTGGCCATGGTTTGAAATCGATGAGGTGATCAGCACCTGTGAGCGAAACAGGGGTGGTTGTGGGTGTGTGGCGGGGCTCGGGCGGGGTCGTGGGGCGCGCGGGGCGTCGCGCGGGGCGCGCACGGGGCCCAGAGCGCGCGCGGGGGCGCGCGGCGCGGCGACCCACGAGATCGAGCGCGAGTTCTCCGAGACCTTTCCGGCAGTTGATGCGAGGGTCACAAAATTTTGCCAAGTCTAGACACCTTTTTTACCCCCCGGGCCTCGCTCCCCAGGGCCTATGCAAGCCCGAAAAAATGGACCCGGCGATTTTGGGCCGTGCCTCGCGTGTACTTCTCCCGGAGCGTTCCCAGGACCGCTCCGAGACCTCCGATCACACGCGCCGGCGCGCCGGCCGATGCCTCCGCCGGCGCGGACCGCGCGCCGACCGCGGCGCTGTCACCGGTCGCTGTGGCGATCCCCGCAGCCGGCGGGACGTCCGCGTCGGGGCGCGGGGACCGATGCGAGGAGCGGTGGCCGGAGTTCGCGACCCGCCCGACGGCCGGCGCGACGCGGGGAGTGGTGGTTTTAGCGATTGTCTTGGCAAGGCTTGCCCCGGCCTCCACGATCTCTCCACGGCCTCGCGAGATTTTGCCAAGGCTGTAACTAATAAATCGCCACGGGTTGCGCGCGTCCGTGCGCCGCACGCGCGCCGCCGGGCCTCCGTCGTGCACGGCCTCACGACGAGCCTCGCCGGGCCCCGTTTCCGCGCGCGCCTCGCCTAAGGGCTCTTAGCGCTTCGTCAGGCAGAGGGACGCGCAGGGCGATGCCGCGAGCGCGGCGCAGCCTGACGCGGCGAGGTCGCGGCGCTTCGCGGCGAAGCGGGCCGCCGCCGCGGGCTCGACGGCGGCGCCTGTGTGGACTTGAACTCAACCAGTGGAACGCCCGGTCCAGCAAAAACTTCAAGCCTCTCTAGCTCGGTCACATCGAAGTCGATTCGGCTCATTTTTGGACGAATCGATTGCTCTCGTCGAGTTCTCGAAGCGCAGCCGAAGGGTCCGGCGCACTTCGTTCCATTACGCGCGCGTTGAAGTCGGGTTGAAGATTTCCACGCGGGTTCGCGCGCGCCGCGAGGTCCTCGACCTCGAGGAAGTCGAGGGACCGCGCCGCGAGGACGCTCCCCGCGGCGCCGAGGTCGACGGCGCCGGCGCCGGGCGCGACGGGCGCGCCGTCGACCGCGACGACGACGTCGCCGCGGCGGAGGCCCGCGGCGCCCGCGGCGTCGGCGACGACGGGCAGGCCCGCCGCGTCGGCGCCGCCGCAGGCGGCCCCGCGCGCGCCGCGCCCGAGCAGGAGGTCGCGGCGCGCGGCGCGCGCGTCGCAGCGCGCGTAGTCGACGCCGGGCAGTTCCGCGCGCCGGAGCGCGGCGACGGCGAGCGCGGCGGGCGCGCCGTCGCCCGCGTCCGCGGCGCGCCGCGCGACGCCGTCCGCGAGCTGCTTCGCCGTGAGCCGCCGCGGCACGGCGCGGCCCGACACGGCCACGACGACGTCGCCGGCGGCGAGGCCGTCGAGGGCCGAGGCCGCGACGACGATGTCGTGGTGCGGCGGCGAGCTGGTCAGGGCCACGGCGCCGCCGAGCGCCGGCGTCGGGATCGACGCGCGCACGAGGCGCACGAACGCGTTCTCGACATCGCCGCCTCTCCGGCCGTCGCAGGACGCCATGCTCAGTCGGTGAAGGTAGCAGTCCGTGGCGCCGGCCTCGAGAGATGGCCTTGAGGGACAGCAGGCCCTGCAAGGAGGCTGCACGGCCGACCTCACTCAGAGCGTTGCCGCGCGGCGAGGCCTGCTCCCGCCTGCTCCGGAGTGCTCACTCCGGGCTCTCTGTGCGCTCCGAGCCCCCTCGCCCTCGAGCCCCCCCGCCGGCGCGCGGGCTCCGGCGTCGACCCGCGTCGTCGAGGTCGACGCCGGCGGCGCGTGCGGCGCGGCGCCGTCGACGGCGGCTGCCGCCCGGTCGTGCGCTACGCCCCTACGCGCGCGGCCTAGATCGGCGAAGCCGACGGGATCCCGGCCCCGAGGACGTCGTCGAGCCGCGGCCGCTTCGGAGACGGGTGGCGGTCCGGGGGGGGCCGCGGCGCGCCGAGGACGGCGGCGGGCGGCCGCGGCGGGATGGGCGCGACGACGCCGCCGGCGAGGGGAGGCGCGGCGGCCGGCCGCGGCGGCGCGGCGCCGCCGCCGGCCGCGGCCGCGGGGTGCGCGTCGCGCCACTTCTTCCGGGCCTTCGTCTGCGCGCGCTTGCCCTTGTCCGACTTGCGGTACTTCTCCTGGGCCTTGCGCTGCGCCTCCTTGCCCTTCTGCGTCGACCGGTACTTGCGCTGGTAGTCGCCCTTGTGCTTCGCGGCGCCGTCGCCGCCGGGCGCCGCGGCGCCGCGCGGCGGCCGCGCCGGCGCGCCCGGCGCGCCCGGCGCGAGCGGCGCGAGCGGCGCCGGCGCGCCGTCGCCGCCGCGCGACGCGCCCGCGCCCGCCGCCGCCGCGGAGAGCGTCGTGAGGTGGTTCACGGCGAGGGCCGGCGGCTGGTCGCCCTCGGCGGCGGCGGCGGCGGCGGCGGCGGCGGCGGCGACGGCGCCGGGCTCCTCGACGCCCAGGGGCAGCGGGAGGCTCAGGGACTGGTCGTTCGTGATGCCCACGAGGTAGTCGAGCGGATTCTCCTGCATGGTCCGCGGCGCCCGCGCGGCGGTGCGGGCTTCGGTGCGCCTCAGGGACTCTCGGCCTCAGCCCAGCCGACTGGCCCAGCCTTCATCAATCTACGCAGCCTATGTTGCCTCACTAACTTGGCCGCCGCCGCGGACAGGCTGTCTGTGGCGCCGCTGCGCCGCGTCCCGACCCCGCGCCGGTTCCTACGTCGAGACCCGCACCGGACCTCGGTCTTCGACGCCCCATTTCGTCGTCGCGCGCCGATTTCGTCGGTTTGCGCGGCGTCGCAAAATCGGCCCCTCGACGCGGTCGACGATTGCGGCGCCTTCCGACGCCCCACCGAGGCCGCCGAGCGGCTCGCCGGACGCCCCAGTTTTGTGGCCAAGTCGCTGCGGCGACGCGCCGGGCACGACGACATGTTCCCGCGCGCGCGCGCGCGCGCGGCGCCGCGACGACGGCCGAGACCGTACGGCGGCGCCGGGGAGTGTTCCCCGTGTTGTTGGGCGGGCGGGAGCGGCGCGATCGCTCGGGGGTCGCGCCGAAGGGCGCGGGATGGTGTTTGTTCGACGGTGTGCCGACCTTTGGCGAAACGGTCCGCGGACCGCGACGCCGCCGGAGCGCGAGACTTTGCGGCGGGGGCGCGAACCGATCCTGGGGTCTACGACGAGCCGGGGGCGGTGGGATCCATCGAGGGTCACGTCGAGGGGCGCGCCAGCGTCCAAAGTCCCGCCGCGGTTGCGCTCCCGTCGCCCCGGCGCGCGGCCAATATGAGGCGCCACGCTCGCGGCGCGTCACCAGCGCACTCCCATGCTGGTCTATCGTGGGCTTAGCGGCCTAGTACGACGGCACCGTGCCACCGGATGAGCGCGGGGCCCTTTAAGGTGTAATTTTTGAGCTTTAAAAATTCCGAGGTGGCACCACCTCATGACGTTTACAAGGGTCCGCCAGCGCGCCCCTTCTCAAAGCCAACGCGGCGTCGGCGATCGGTTCTGCGGCCCCGACGCTCGTCGTACATGTCGCCGGCGCCGAACCCGCGCGCGCCGGCCCGCTCCCGGGCCCCGCGCGGTCCCCCGCCGCCGGGCCCCGGAGGCGCGTTCCCGGCCGGCGGGCACCCGCGCCGGGTCGACGTTCCGGTCGCCGACGAAGGCCTCGAGCGGTCCGCGGCGCCCCTCCGCGCCCCCGGCGCGGAACCCGAGCCCTACGGCGCCCGGCACACGCCCTGGGGCCACTCGGCGCCGCGGCGGCCGTTTCCGCTCGTCGTCGAAACGACGCTCGGGCCGGGCCCCCGGCGCGCGGTCGCGTCGAACTTCGACGCCCGGCCCATGGAACCGTCGCATACATACGTGCCCTCGATGGGATGGCCGCGCGGCGCGCCGCGGCGCCGCCAGGGCTGCTCCCGGGCTGCCCCAGAGCGCCAGATCTGCCGATTTGGCGAAATATCGCTGTTTTCGGGGCGCGCGCGCCGCGATTCGCGACTTGCGGGCCGCGCGAGGTGTTCAGGGGATGCGCACAAGTATGCTGCGTCCGCCGGTACCGCGCATGCCTCCGGAGACGCCGCCCATCGCGCGCTAGGGGCACCACAGCGTTAATAAAGCAACATAGGCTGCGTAGATCCATTTTGCGGCACCATCAGCATGGCGCGGACGCCGCGGCCGCTGCGGCCTCGTGTGTGGCTCCATGGTGTTTTCGCGGCGACTCCCGGCCCGGGTCGTTCGGGGCGATGCCGACGGCGCCGGAGCTCTCGCGGCGGCCCGCGTCCTCGCGTCGACGACGCGCGCGTCGGCGTCGGGCCCGGGCCGCGGACGCGCTCCAGGTGCGGCGCGCACGACGCTCGCGGCCGGCGGCGGCCGCCGAGGACCACCGCGCGACCGGCACCGAGGACGCCGGTCGCATCTGCCCAAGGTTCGATAGCGCCTCAATCAAAGTCTTGCAGCTCGACTTTGCAGGAGGCGATGGCTGCCTAGGATAGCCTCTCCATGGCCGCCGCGCTGGACTATAACGTGGCGCACACCGTCGCCGCGTCGTCCCTGGGCGTGCGCCCCGACGGCCGCGGGCCGGCCCACGGCCGGGCCGCGTGCCTGCGGCTGGCGCGGGACGGCGACGGCGCGACGGCCGAGGCGTCCCTCGGGCGCACGCGCTGCGTGGGGCGCGCGACCTGCGCGCTCGGCGCGCCGG